AAAATCAAGAGGTTTTAATACAAATATAAAGCTCTTTACAAATCTCAGACTTTGTGACATAACATCACCTGTGGATGTAAAGCAGCAAATAGATGTGTTTTGTTGCAACAGCAACAATTTAAAGATCAAATACCTTTTTCTACCAGATCCCCCATACTGATTTCTGAGAATCTAATGAAATACAAAGGATGTTTGCAAAGCAGAATGATTGCATATGCTTTATTAATTAGTTTGGCAAAGCCTTCAATACCAAAGTTGCATGTAGTTTTCCATAGGCTTGGTCAACCTGGCTCAGATTTTTCATTATTCATGTTTCCACAATAATTGTGCTCTGTGCCATTTCACAAAAATATATATATATATATATTTCACTGATCTTGGAATTTGTCATTATGCTGAGACTTCTAAAAATATCCCCCCAGAAGAACTTCCATTGAACTTGACTGGAATGGGAGAGGTGGTACATATTTTTCTTTCTCTTGGAAATTCATCAAAGTCCTACAGTAATGCTGTTCTTGCAATCCTGGCATCACATTTCACACTCAGATCATGATGAGCTTTTTCAGTAGAACTGACTGTGAATTTTCAGATGAAATAACTTCTCATTGGAATACACTAGCTTGTTCAAACAGAATGTTTTGGGCTTTGACAATCGCACAGCTCAACACAGACAGGGGTGTCTTACAAAACCACTCCTAAATCCTAAATTTGTGGGGCTCCTAAATCAACATTCTTTAGCAAGGAGTTGATGGATTTCCTAGGTTGCCTGTGACATCTCAGGAGCTGCTTCTTCCCATTTTGAACAGAGACAGGAATAAGAAAGACTCATTTTTCTGAAGCCAATATTTCTGAATTTCCTTTCCATCATCAATCCTCCTGTTTTCATCTCATCCCACAGCCAAACATCCCAACAGAGGTCTTCCAGCATTACAGAAATGTTAAATACTATCTTCTCTGGCCTGGTTACGCAGAGGAGCAAGAGGGCGGCAAGGAGGCAAGGAGCAGCACTGAGAGAAGTAATACAGCAGCAGACTCTAGAGTCTTCACACAGATTCACCTAGCTGCTGAAGTACTGGACTGGCTTGATAGCTTTTTCCATGTAGGTCCAGCCCAGCTTCCACTTTGGGTTTTATTGCAGGAAAAAGCTGTTCAATGCCAGTCAACTTGTGGTTGGCAGTACTTAGCATTACCTAACAGGTCACAAGAGTACTCTAGAACACCCAAAAGAAACAGATGGGAAAACCGATATAAATGCAGCTAAAATGCAGTAAACTCCCAAAGCAAAAGGCACATCCTAATGCAGAGCCTGTCCTGTGTCTCCACAAATGATGACACTATGTGCTGAAGAATCTTCCTACCCTTTAGAGAAGTGGAACAAGGAATATTTTGTAAGGGAAGTGCAAAAGGTAGGAAAGTTGGGGCAGTGTCTTCCTTATTTTCACATGTTTATTTTCACCTTCTCACAAACGTAAGTATACATTCACGTGTGCAATTTCACTCCCTAGTAAATAACAAATACTCATGAAGAGTTTCCAAAATTAGGAGGAACTTGCTAATGGTTTATGTGCTCCCTCTGAGAACACCACATCATTTCAGTCAAGACGGATGCAGGGTCTGGACAATATTCTAAAATGTAACATGGTCTACCTCATCAAATGCATTGTTCCTACTGAACACCAAATACCCATTGGCCTCAGTGCTGCCAACCGTGCACTGTGTGCAGCCATTAAAGAAAGCCTCCAGCATTTTTCTGAGCTTGGGCAATCACACTGGAAAACATACCAGGATCTATGCGGGAGATGAGGATAAAGACCAAGCAGCTCTGGAGATCTCCTAGAGAAGACTAGTAAACAACAGGCCTCCATAGAGAAGGGCAACAGAAAAATCAAATCACACAGAAATTTACCGAAGCTTAAAGATGCTTACGAAAATGGCTCAAGGTGAACGATTAATTTCAAACCAGGCCAAATTGAAGAAAAGAACCTTGATGCACACACCAATTTTGTTCCTCAAAGTCAAGAATTGCCTAATCAATAGTAGTGCTAAAAGGAGATGGGCGCTCTCAGGGGTACCATTACAAAGAATTGCACTGGGTTTTAGCCACCTGGCTCCCAATTGCTTTAATAGATGTCACACGGCTAAAGCCTGGTCTAAAGCTTTAAAACCTTACCCCTCAGTCTTCCTGAGCATCCACTGCTGTCAGGTGGCAAATGCGAAACAGCAGGAGGGACTGTGAGATTTACTCCTGTATTGACCAGTACTAGAACATGCCCAGGAATTTGCAGTGCTGTTGCAAGTCTCAGTTACTGGGTGAAGAAAGGCAAAGCAGGAGAGGGTAAAAAGGGTGAGTGAGAGAGAGGGAAAGAAATTGTACTTAACCCTTCCTCTGTTGATGTGTTGATAGCAGTCTGCATCAGGTACTCACATTGCTGGGCTAAACCAATCAGCCCTCCTCTTACATTTGCTAAAAATAAACTAGGACTTTTTAGGTAATGCTCTGACTGCTCCCCCCATTCCAAATTGTGCTCAAAATCTTAATGGAAAACCTTCAAGAGGTTTAAGGTTTTAAATCAAATAAAAAGGCAGACAAAAGGAGAAAAATCCAATCAGAGCAGAAAGGGTTGGCTTATACAGGAACTGATTTTTGTTCCATTTTCACCAGCACCAAACTCAACAGGAGCAGTAGCTGGAGAGACAGAAGGAAGCAAACAAAATGGGAGAGGAAGGAAGAGTTTCTGTCATGCTCATATTATACATCATTTTACACAAGGAAGGGTGGCATCCAGTCAACAAGATCTGGGCTTGACTGGGTTCCTCAGCCTGTTAGTGGTCAGCTATGGGATGGTGAGCACTCTACTCCCTTTCTCAGGCAGCTTCCACAACTCCAGAGCCCTTCCAGGGCCAGGACTGCCCTGGTGTGCCTAGAGGAGAGCAATGGAATTGGCCTTGGTAGCAGCCTCATTGTGAGAGGTCACCTTGTGGTAAGGCTCTCACAGAACACATGACTGTCAAGTAGTAACAACCACTTTCCGCTTGGGGAAATACTGCCATGAGAAACAACAAACCAAAATGCTCCTAAGTGGAAGCGGGTGGGGAAAGGGAACAGAGAAAATAAGTGAACCAAGGAACTTTTTTAAAAAAAAAAAACAAAAAAACCCCCAAACAAATAAACTAAAAAACAAACAAAAAAAAACCAACCCAAACCAAACCCAAAACCTGAGCCTACCACTTATGATGAGTGGGGGGAAAAAAAAAATAAAAAAAAAAATAAAAATTGTGTACTATCTACCTTCCTGCCAGCCATTTAGAAGACTGTACATCTAAGATTTAGAAGGGTAATGATTAGACACTGGTTAGAAGAGAAGAAAGGGAATGGAAAATCTTCCCAAAATAGTAGATGTTATAAGCACAGAAAAACTAGGAAATTGTTTCTGCATATATGAGCCCTGAACATATTTCATAGTATGGCTCCTTTCCATTGAACCCTACATATGCTGTCTGTGCTTCAGAATAATAATTATTTTAAAAACCCAGAATGCCCTGAGCCAAAGCAAGACTGTACACTGTAAGAAACTGAGTGTATTGAGATTTCTATTGAAATAAAGGACAGAAGTCTGATAAGAAGATGGTACTTGCAGGTCTGATCCAGATCCCATTAATTTTATAAGATCTGAATCCAACTATTAGTGTAGGCCTGGCTCATGAGCCACAGAATATCTGTGAGTGCTACTGTTGTGCTGGCTTTAGCAGTATCTCTCTTCATAGACATTAGAGCCAAACCACATCAGTTCTCCTTAGTTGAGCTGGATTGGCACTTTGGAAATCCTAGTGCACAGGAAAGGTTTAAATCCTCACAGTTGAGGAGTAAGAGCAACATAGAGCTCAGCTACTGGCTAAAAATGGCTCAAGAAAAATAAAGGTAGAAGAACTGGCAGAAAAAGGAAAACCAGTGAGCAATAAAAGGGAGAGAGAAATTAAATAGAAAAAAGGTACAGAAGGGAAAGGAGAATAGGAGACAACAGAGGAAACAGTGGGGGGAAATTAAATTAATCAAAAATAAGGAAAATAATTAAGGAAACAAACAATGAGAAAGAGAGGAGGGCAGTAGAACTCACAAAGGAAAAGCAAACAAGAGACAAGAAGTATATTGGAGGCAACAGAGGGAAACAGTGAGGCAATGAGAGAGAAAGAAAAGGGAGGGGGAAAGGTGTGAGGAGCTGAAAATGGCAAGATATAGGAGAGAAAATGGGAGAGAGTAAAAGGGAGGTAAAGAGAAGGAATTGTACAGAGGAAGGACGAGAAAGAGGAGAACAATCCTAGGGAGCCTGCTGTGGTGGGTCGCAGAGGAGTTCACAAGCCCATGCACTCCAACTATTTCTTTTTGATTCTGTGTCATTGTCAGGCTTCAGACTGCAGCTGCAAATTGTTTGTCTGGCAGTTCTGGTAGGTTTGATTCAATAACTCCTATAAGAGGGCAGGCAGGATATCAATGCTGCTTTATTGCCTTTTTCTCTGCCTACAATAGCAATCCTCCAGTTATACAGTATTATAAAGTGCCATCACTGGGGGTTGTATCTCAGCATAGTCACATCTCATCTTCCTAGACTATAATAAGCTGGCAAAGGTAAAAGTCTGAAACTACGTGAGCTTCATGAAATGATTAACATTGAGGCCTAAAGACTGGTGTCAGGAACGGGCACTGAGCAAACAGACCCTCTCTTCCCAAGTACCACAGTGAGGGGTAGCTACATCCTACAGGATCAGCTCCCCCAAAATGTACTTGGTAATCTGTGTCAGGTCTCACTCCAGCCACAAGTGGACAAAGCATTAACCATCCAGAAAGCTGCAACCACTGCTGGGGAACACAAAAAATAACCCACGCAGTCCTGTCAGTTGGATAACTTCTCATGTCTTTCTCCAAACACTTTGGATGTGAGCTCTTTGAAAATAAACGTGCAGCGACATTTAACATAAGATTGGACTGACTGACGTGGACTTACCATTTTTCCTCCTGGAAGTTGGTTCCTTCGGGCTGTGGGGGTGTCCCTCACCAGACTGACATAGAGAAATTTCCCCAGCCTTGAGTGTGCATGATCTGTCAATAAAAAGAGGCTTTCAGTTACACAACGCTGTCAAATAGCACCTTTTACAAACACTAAATTCAAGTTAAAAATGTCACAGCAAAACAGGAAAATCACCAAAGAGAAAACTGCCTGTGAGGCATTTTATTGGTGTGCCTTTTGAAAAATAAAAATTCCTGGCACATTGCTCTGGTTAAAGCCACAGAAATCAGAACAGAACTTCTCATTCAGGCCCAGTCATTACAGATATTGGGAGCAGCCGAATAGAAAGAGACCCATTTTCTCCACTTAAACTTTGTCTTTCATATATACATACATACATAAAAATCCCTGTTTCATTGTAAAAATCATAGGTGGATGTCCTTAAGGCTGTGTTTAGAATCACTGTGACTTTACACTGCAGTTTATTCCATATATTTCCATCATTTTGAGTCACACTGTTCAACTTCCTCCTTATTCTTAATAGATTAATTTGCGATTGCTCCCTCGACATTTCAGCCTTTCATGATGGAGAGCAATTCCTCTCATTTCACTCATCAAGGCTCCATATAATAATGAAAGTTCCCATAGGTCACCTCTGTTGCGCCTTATTTCCTTAACCCCTTTAGCCTTTCCCCCTGATGAGTGTTCTTAAACCTGGAGCTGTCTGGGCTAAGGCAAAAATAAAATTTCTCCTGCAAGGCAACTGCAACTGAATCCATATTGCATCAGTTCTATAGAAAATGTGACTATAGCCATGAGATTTCAATTCTCTGACACCTTTACATTGTCATACTATCCTATCTGTTTTTTCTAAGCAGTCATACACACAGAACTGCTGGGATTTTTCTCTAATAACCTCAGGTCTCTTTTTTCTCTGGTACACTGAATAATATGAACTCTGCTGTGGTTCACTAGCTCTAGACTTACTGTTATAGCCACTAACAGATCCAAATCCTCCTCAGCTTGGTAAGCACTGCTTCTTACTGTCTGCTTAATCTTTATATTTGGCAGAATAATCAATGTCTGCTATTTTACTTGTTATAATCTTTCAGAATAAAATTGTTAGGCAAGATTTTGAGCTTCTGTAAGTTGGTATGTCCCTAGAATCACTTCACTGGTCCAGCTTCACACATTAAATAGATGCTTCAAAACAAACCTGGAGGGCAAGCTGCCAATCTGAATTTTCCAGTTGTTACTTATGACCAATAGCTGTTTCCTAAATTGTGGCCCTGCTTCATGATTTACATTTATGTAGGGGATAGTCCCAACACAGCCTGCAGGCAGGCAGACATGCTCATGCACATTGGAAGAGCTGCGGCTCTGGGTGTGAGAGGTAGATGAAGGTGTCTAAAAGTAGCCCTGTTCTCCCAAGAAATCCACATTAAAAGAACAAATTGTGTATTTTTTTTTTAAGGAACAATTTGTCATTGCACCATACTCCAGGATCTCTCTTCTTTTGTGCAATCTGCCTGTTCCACAGAAAACAAAATATTTCTGACCAGTGATAAAGCACTAAATAAAACAACTGTCATTCACACGCACAGCCTTGAAGGCTGTGCATCTTTAGGGGGAGGAGACAATAGTTAGTTCAAAGTAATTCCGTCCTGATTGGGTTGGGGATAATTTTCTGGCAACTAAGGATGAGACTGAAACTAAAAAAATAATTTCAAATAACCATGAAAGAGTCACAGGACAGCAACACCTTCTGGTCTCTAGAGAGCTGGAATTGATTTCAACTGGTCTACCACTTAAATGGAGAAAAGCTATTATCCCATCACTAAGGCTCTTGAGCCATTCAGTCCCAACTTGAACCAATTTTTTCTTCAACAAGCTCTTTTACATATCTCACTTAGCCCACAATCTTTATGGGAGAAGCTTATCACACAATTTGTGTAAAAAGATAAGTGCCTCTCCCCTTTCAATTTCTGTTTATTCTTGGGTTTGTTGCTAACATGACAGAACTATTAATCATGTTCCTCCTCTCCTTATGGAACCCCATTTTTCTTGCTACTATTCACAAAATAAGACAATTTCTTAGTATTTTTTGGAAGAAGACCCTGCCTAGAAGCATATGTTCTAGAGACTTTTTTCCACATAAATGTAAATTTATTGCCCTCAAATGTTGTAGCACTCATTGGTATAATGCTGATACTTCATCAATAACTCTGCAGGCCAACAGGGGTCAAATCTGGGATTTGCAGATTAAGAACTGAGTATGGCATTGCTAAGGATCAAATTTGCAAAAGTAGTCTTCATTTTTAGGTGCATTCATGGGCACCAAAAGGTGGACACAGTGCCCACAAGTATATGAAGAAGCTATAATTAACAATTAAGAATGTCTTAAAATTTAGGTCTTTGGTGTCTGATACTGGAGTTGCAAAAAATTAAGACATCCATACTGGAAAGCCATTTTTGAAAAGGGGACTGCAAATGAGGCCATCACATCTGTGGCAGAGCAAAGCTGAGGGCCAGCAGGTCAGAGCTGCAGTTCGATAATGGGGCCACACCAGCCCAGCAGAAGAATTCTTTCTGGTGAGAATGCAAACATGTTCACGCTCAGAACTCTCAACTTCTCTAACTGTTTTTCCACTATTCCATGAACTCAGAGGAGCCTGTTTTGTCTACTTCGTGGTTTCGCTTCCTTAAGCATTTTCCCTGTAGTTTCTCTCACCACTGAATTTACTCAACATCCTCCATCACTCCCAGAATTAGGATCCACGCCTTTGAAAAACCTGTGCTTTCTTCATTTCGGGCAGTTAATCCCCCTCCCGCTCACCCTCCCAGTTACACTGCCAGAGCAACACTACTTTGATACTGTTCCTCTGGCAGCAATTAGAATCAAATCAGCACCAGGCTGTTTATAAAAAGGGATGTTGCTATAATGACACTATCAATTCTTCCAAACAGTGTAGCTATTTATCAAGTGATTAAAGTAGAGTAACTTACTCCAGTTTTACTAGCCTGTTTTCCATTGGAACTTAAAAGGTTTTACTGCCTCAAGTATGGCACTTGGACTGCTAATAATTTCGATTTTATTACATTATCATATTTTTTAGATTTATTTCTAGGTTTTGCATAAGATTCAAATTGTTATCCAGTTTATAAAATAAGATAAATTTATCTTGGTCAAAAATCACATTAAGATAATTATCTTCCCCTTTTGGCAGATAATTTTGTTTGCAATATATGGAGAATGCTTATTTTGGGGGGTTTGGTTTGTTTTTTTTTTTTTTTCTAACCACTCATTCTTGCAAAAGTGACTATTTTTTTCCTGACACAGGCAACTCTATCTCCCTCTCACTGTCAAGAGCTGTCATGTCTCCTTCCGTTTCCCCCTTTCCATTAGGGGAAAACCAAACACAATGTGCCTGCTCTTGGCTTGCCCGCAGGCTACCATGGTCACCTGTATTCCGGGCAGGCACAGCAGGGCTGACCCGTCCGCTGGTCGTGCTGTGCCGTGGTGTCGGGGGCTGGTGGGGTGCGCTTACTCAGGCAGCCCCACACTGCGGTGCAGGTAACGCTTATCGGAGCGGGGTGTTGGCCATACGCACACCAACAGGAGCCGGGACAGCCTCTTCCCCTACCAACGTGCTGCGGTATGCATGTAGCTTCATTGCGCTCCTCAACAACTCCCTGCTTCTCTCTGTTAATGGAAATGTTAATTGCTGATAGCCTACAGAAGGGACCACTTCTTAAAGAATGAACGGAGGTCACTGGCTGATTCCTCCTCCCTCCGCCCTCTCCACCAAGCCCCGGTATCCCTGGAACTGCTGCACTGCCTCCCCTCAGAAGACCACACTTCTCCTTCCAGGCTGCAGCTAACAATTGCCTGACAAGGCAATTCAGAGCCAATGAAGCCAGATACTGAGTATCTGCTAAAACTCCCAAATTATCAGAAAGATACTACTTATCAGATATCAGAAGAAAGTTGCAGCAACTAAGCCTCGAGTAAGCAAATCACGCCTGCCCTCTGCCCTGCCCACAGGGTCTCTGGGGAAGGTTATTTATCTGAGCTTTATCTTCAAATACTTGGATGTCTGTCTTGAACAGCCACAGCACCTTGGCCCTAGGATATCTGAAAAGCCACCTGTGATCTCCATTATTAGCACTTTGATTAACTGAAATTAGATTTTTCGCTTTATGGGAAATTTTGATACTTAAAAAGCACAAATTCACTATTAGATCAAATCCGTAAGAGATTTTTTGGTGAAAAAAACCCCAAATAGTGTTTGCTTAGGAGAAAAAAAATCAGCTTCAGGAAAGTTAAAGTTTCAAATTTTATTTAGAATGCATGGGGTTTTCTTTGTGCCTATACAGCATTATTATAAAATTTATACCATCCTGCTTTAACTTGACATCAATAATTAGTTAAAATAAAATAGCTCCCCCTACTTAAAAAATTATTAAGGGCATGTGTTGCTTAGTACAGATGGAAACCCTGTTACGCAATAATGTAAGTGGCACTCTGGTATAGAAAAAGGATAGTGATACCCTGAAATTTTAATAGGATAATCAAGGATTTTTCAATTATTCTAATTCGCCAGTGTATCAAGCACTCATGACAGAAGTACCAACAAACAGACACTAGGTAATATCCAAAAGGTTTTGAGGTGTGATGCTGAAATATGAACTTTTTTTGAGTTATATTATTCACATTTCTCAATATCTAATGTAGCCTAGGAGCTTTACAAAAGCAATTCTCTTCCTCTATTTTTCCCCAATTCTTGCTTAAGGGCCCAGGATCGTACAGGGTGCATCCCGTCTTTTTTCTGCTTTAATGCAGGCAGAGAAAAAGAAGCAATTCAAAATTGGAGAACACCTAGGAAAAGTCCCAAAACAGAACTAAAACAAATTTTCTTTAAAACATTCAGGCTCCATTTCAGTTTGGGATTAAAGTGAAGATCAGTTTACATATTTGTGTTATTTCTGATGACAATTGTATGGAATATATACAGACAGAAATTGATCCATTTCTAGTGAGTAAACATCTACCTTTCTCCTCACTCTTGCTCAGAACCCAGGTGACATTAAA